CCCCGCAAGGGAGGACTCCACAACCATCTGGAGGAGGAGAACTTCATGTCTCGTGAAGATCTCTAAGCGCTGCGGAGCCTATCGAACCCAGCGCAGACTATAGGGGTCTGATCAACCTCTGGCCTCTCCCCGTCGCCGAACGATCCCTTGACGAACCCCTTCCCTGCGCACAAGTTCCACGGAGCCTAGCAAACTTCATGTGAGTGTATCCAGAGCTCTTTGCTTCGAGTTATTTTCTTCGGTTGACACGACGGGCTCACGTGTTTAGAGCCTTCAACCGGATTGGGCTAGAGGGTCGCGTGGAAGGAACTCTTGTCCGCCTCTCTTCTTTTCTGTCTGTAACCGCAACCCAAGCAAGTTTTCCTGCCTGCACCGCGACCATCTTCGGTGTAAGTAAAATAATCTTTAATCAACCGCTAAGCGTCCGTGCCTAATTCTAGCCCACTGGCCTGCATTCCCCGACCCAGCGTGTCCGGGTTGCTGGCCACAGCCTGCCGCGCACAGGCCCCCGAGGGCCTCGGACCGCTCCCGGCCCACACACATCTCTGCCTGGCTTTCTGATCTATATTGGCATTTGATGGAGTGAACTTTTGTTCGCAAAACCTGTATGTGTCTGCATCCATCAGAAGGTCAGGTAGGCCTATGCACCTTTTATAGACCAACTCAAGATGCAAAGGGTGCATCTGCATATGCAATTAAGGCAGAGCGATAAAGTCTGATGCACCTCGCACGGGAGTCAATTGCTCCCGGGAGCAGTGTCTATGCGTGTGCCCAGGACCACAGCACTTTGACTCTGTCTATCTATCTAGACAGGGGTGTGCTTGTGTATATAGCACAAGCTATCATGAACCAGTTTCCTGCACCAGATGCTCTTGTGTGTATATGTATGTATATACATATAATACATACTTCTCCCCCTGTCTCCTTGTGATGCCAAGCGGCTGCATGGAACTCAGGGTTTCTCAGTGCAGGGGCTGCCTGCTGGCTAGCCCCACACTAGCAAACCCTGTGCCCCAGCCCAGGGCAGTGTCTACATGTGTGCTGCTACTCATGAAAAAAGCTCTGGAGCAATAAGCTCTGGAGTCTTTTCATACGCATGTATCGCATGTGTATACATGCCCAGTGATATGCAAGTGAAGGGTTTGATGGAAATTGTCGGGTTTGAATGGAAAGTATTAGTTAACTGTTAAACAGTGAAATACTGCAAGTTGCCAGAGAGTACAGACTGAGAACAAAAATTCTAAAAACACTAGTAGATAAACTGTTACAAATGTTTATCTAATTTGCTAATGCTATATTGAAAGCTAGTTTAAAGGAACCAGTATTGGTAGAATGGGGAAGCTTGTTGATTGTCATTCAGAGCTACAGGCTTTTTCTCCTGCGTTTTATGAAAAAATACAGTGTTTTGAGGGAAATACTTAATAGACTAACCAAAAAGCAAAGCATACATCTACTGTAGTTACAGCTGATATTGTTTGGTTTGTGATTTACAGTTATAGGGCTCAGTAACATTTGAAAATTGTAGAATTATTCCTCATGTCGCAAAATGTGGCAGGAAAATAACAGCATTGATTTGAGAAGAATTTGCCTCCAGTTGTTACATTTTGACTTAAAATATTTTTTATGTACAGATCATGTCTCTGGATGGTCAAGTTATTAACTTGCCTCAAACGCAGCTGGTCATATGGCAGTTTACCACAGTTTAAGTCCAGGTTTGCAGATTATATTCAGCCAACAAAACTATTTGTGTCAGGAGAATTTAAATAATAACACTGAATTTACTTAAACATTCTATATGCTTGTATATATTATAGAGTATTTAAGACTACATTTGATTTTCATGAAGTTTTATTGAAGGGAAAACAGGTCCCTAGTGATAAGTTAAAAGCTTAGATAAATAGTCGCCAACCATTAATGCATATTTTATGAATTTTAAAGGAGCTTTTAGAAATAACTGCCACTGTTTTAGTGTCTAATCTGTGAATTGGGCTGCCATTTTAACATCCCAGGGGCCCAGTTTGATGCCAGCTGGAGTCCCAAGAATCTGCTTAACTGAAGTTTTGGGGAAATCCAAAGTCTTTTTCTTAATATTTTTAAAAGGGAAATCTGTGCATTCTCTTATACTTTATAGTGATAACAGGAAAGCAGATTCTTGGATCCCTTCTTTATTGTTATGATAGCGGTATGAGTCTTTGTGCTTAGGGCAAATCTGAGATCCATTTTTTGTAACTTGATGAAGCTCTTAAAATAGTCTCCAGAGGAGGAAATAGTGTGTCTCCCTCCCTCTCCCTCTCTCTCTCTCTCCCTCTCCTTATGCCCCCCTTTTCTTTTAAATAAAATTAAATGCATCCTTTTTCCTTTTAGAACAACAAAAGAGAAAGCCAAACCTCCTGCAACAGAAGGAAAAGGAGCACAGGCCGCTCCAATACAGCACTCTTTTCTCACAGATGTATCAGATGTCCAGGAGATGGAAAAGGGACTGCTGAGCCTTTTGAATGACTTCCATTCTGGCAAACTCCAAGCATTTGGTAAATATGTGGGTTTTCTTTGCACTACTGCTGCCTTCGCAGGTATAAGATACTAGTTTTTGCAAGCAGATATTCTAGCTACAGTAGCTACAGACAGATTCATTTTGTTTTAGACAAGCATGCTATTAAAGCTCAGTTGAACACGATCTCTCACTTCAGATTCTTTTTTTGTGATAGTGACCCTATTAATTGAAGTGTCTATGTATTGTTCCAAGATTTGATATTCTAATTGGTACAGCATATCAAACTTGCTATTTTGGCATAAAGTAACAGTTTTAAAACTATATTTGCACTGCAGTACTTAATATGTAACCATGAAATAAGCTTGCTCTTATTTAGCACCCTGATCTTGTAGTACATAAAGCTCTTGGATTCTGTGGAGCTTTAGCATTGATTTCAATAGGAGCTGGATTGAGTCTAGTGGAGTTGAAGATATTTTGCTTTTAACTTGCACGGCCTAGGTTACTCTTGTGCTTGAATACGAAATAATGTCACAATTTTCTGTGTGATAGGACTCTGCATAGGGCTTTTCTGGCCTCAGGTGCTTGAACCTAAATCTAGCATAGGAAAAAGATTAGTCAGAGCAGCTTCTTTAAGTTAAAAAATAAAGTCCCGGTCTAGAGAAGGGATAAGTATGAACTAAAACTAGCGTATACATCCTTCACTCAGAGCAGGGTGATTAATGCCCCACCTTTTTAAAATGTCCCTCTCTTGCCATTGAACTGGCTGGTATTAATACATTCATAGTAATTTATTATCAGATCAACTGTGAATATAGAAGCCACAAATGAATCATGTGGAAGGTAAATATATTGAAATGCTTTCTTGCATGTAGCATGGAAACTTAAGATGGACATGTAATATGGCCCTTGCTGTCTTCCTCACTGTAAAACTTTTTCAGAAGTCTGATTAATCTTTTTTCTTTTTTTTTTTCCTTTTTCCAGGAAATGAATGTTCCATAGAACAGATGGAACATGTGCGGAGTATGCAGGAGAAGCTGGCACGCTTGAACTTGGAACTATATGGGGAGTTGGAAGAACTTCCTGAAGATAAGAGAAAAATAGCCAGTGACTCCAATTTGGACAGGCTGCTATCAGATGTAAGTAAAGTAAAGGAAGAATGAGGCTTCCCTTGGAAAGTTTTCCTCGGAACTAGATCTGAGTTCAGGAATACATGTGGCAGTGAATAGGGTTACAATTTTCTGTACAACTTTTAAGATCTATGGATTCATGGTTAGGTGTGTTGAAAAAAATGTGTTTTAATGAACTAAGATGTTCCCCCTGTTTGAGAAAATACGTATGTCCTGTGTTACAGATTGCTCCTTAGAGCAATTTTGCTAGGTAGCGCACTACAGTGCAGCCTAAAGTGTAAACTTGTCTCAGCTAAAGATTGTTTAAGCCAGTCTGAATATCAGGGGACTGCAGTCATCTCAGTTGTAATCCTTCTACTTGTATCTAGTGAAGAGCAGATACAGAAGAGAATCTAGACTTATTTTTAAACTTAAGGTGTTGAATAAAGGAAAAAGTATTATTTTGTAAACATTAATGAATTTAAGTATTTGATAAACATAATTTCTTTAAACTTCCTATAACATGTAGGTTTATCTTTGCTTTTAGACCATCAGTACTATTAATCTGAAGTATTTTTATGAAAATTTGTGTTGCATTTTGTAATGGCAAAATTTATGTTGGGTACCATTAATAATTATACTTCTGACATATTTATTTGATTAATTAACTACAGTGCTTTTTCATATCCTTTGTCCATTTACATTGCAGCTGGAAGAACTGAATTCTTCTATGTATCCTTTTTTGGTTAAATATCTAATTTAACAACAGGCAACATTTCTTTTCATGCAAAAATGTTTAATCTTAATACAAAGATAACGTTCTGATACACATTTTAGATGACCTCATACCAACCCAGCAGTTAATGGTATGTACACCAAAATGCTGAGCCAGACTGTTTACTACTTCTTAAATATAAATGCACATAACCAGGGCTATTCTTTTTCTAGATACCTCCAGTTTTTAAATGTCAGCATTCCCATTTTTAAGGTTTTACCGTTAAGTTTACATTTAGAGACTGAATTGGTATCTTTTTAAGCAAGAAAAATAATAAACATGTATTGTGTATTACTTTTATTTTTTATGGGAAAACTTGCCTCAGTCCATTTAGTCTCTGCAGTGAAAGAGAAGATACAGACAGTGAGCTGTTTAAATGCAGACAGTGTGTTTCCTCTTTACCATGCACACTTTGGCTTTGTGTATAAATGCAGTAATGCATAGTGGTATTCCAGTTTCTCAAACCACATGTATTGTATTGTTCCTCAAGTCTAACTTTCTGTATATATATTAAATACCAATGCATCACAGCTACATGTAAAGTAAATATGCACGTAGCTGTGCTTCATTATGTGAAAAATGTAATTCCTTAACACTTTGTTCTAGACAAAAACTACACTTGGCTGATGCTCAAGATATTCCAAATACTACCACCAGTTAAGAGTGTCGATTTCTTGATTTGGGGACATCTCCATGAAGCTGTATTTTATTTTTCCAGTGAAATGTTGAAGCTGTATTTTATTTTTCCAGTGAAGCCTTTTTTGCACAACAATGAATTATAGTTCAAATGCAATGATTTTTTTTAGGGGTGTAGGTTGTAGCCGTGTTGGTCTAAGGACATAGGCAGACAAGGTTCTTTGGGTGAATCTGATATCTTTTATTAGACCAACTTAAATAGTTGGAAAACAAGTTGGTCTAATAAATCAAAAAACGTTTTTCGTTGCCATTGTTTTTTTTTTTTTTTTTTTTTTTGTATTAGCTGATTTGAGCACTGCAGTGCATCCGGGTTGGAATCTAGAGATTTAACTACAGTTCTTGTGCTGCCATGCTGTACGTTGTTGCCTTATTAAATATAAAATTTGGGAAAACTTGAAAGTACATTTTTCCTATTCAGCATTGTTCATATGTCTGAATTCACTTATGTATATATGTTCTCTCGCATTGCTGTGATTTTAACTAAGGTGGCAGTGATGTTGCTGCCTTCTTACTCAATACGTGGACAATCTGCATACTTTTTTCAGTGTTTTATTGATCAATAATGCCACTAAAAAAAATGTTAATGAATTTATTAATACAAATCATTTTAAAATACGCTACCCACATTTTATGTAGTAAAGTTCTCTCTCCATAATCAACTCTTGTGTGGTGTGAGTTTCTGCAACTTAGATTTCTTTTCTCGCCCAGATCAGCATTTTTAAAAGATCACCCACCTAGATTTAGCATACAAGCTACCCCTCTGCATCATGTAAATCACATAGTTTTGAATTCTAAACATCATTTGCACTATAACTTGTCCTTGTTGTATTTCAACATCTGATACTTGGGACAGAACAACTGCATGCACAATTACAAACTGGACTAGGCTGCCACATTGATGAAAAGGAGGTAGGGATCAGACTGGACCATAAGCTGAATTTAAGCCAATTGTTTGTTCCTGTTGCAACACCCCC